CGGTTTCAGCCTGTCATCAGGGTTGTCACCTATCCACATAGCCCCTGCCAGAACGCACACACACATAATCAAGGAGGCTAACCTACTATAGAATTTACCACACAGTGCAGAGAGGCACCATATGACTAGCTTGGCACCCAGTCCCGCCAATGTCTATTCATCTTGTTAATCTCAGTGGAATCGGTTAGAAGCTTTAATACATTTATTTTAGGCTACAAACACCTGCTTCAGTTTGCAAGCAGTGATTAGAGCACACCTGTCACAGCCGGTGGAATGGGAAGGCTTCGGCTGACAAAGCAAAGACTTAAAAATACATTTTGGCAATACCCAACGCTTTTTAGATTAATTTTGAAATAATCATATTGTAAAATACTTAAATATGCATTCTTTAGGGGAGAGAGGGAGGGGGTATAGCCTAGCTAGCTAGACTATGTCAACTGCTGACCTCAAGCTAATAACACATGCCATCTTATACTTAAAGTTATACTTACCTGAGCCTCGGAACCAGAAGTATTCCTTTCAGCCTGTCTACTCTACAAGGATGGTATGTCCCTCGGCGTCCTCATGTCCAATACACCCTATTGGGCATGATGGCTGGAGGACTCCTAAACCGCTGCAGCAGAGGGGGAGAGACGCTCAAGGGTCTAAGAGTCGGCCAGCTCGGAAACTCAGCTGAGTACAACTTTTTTTTTTATCCTAGATTGTGGACAGTGCTTATGTCTCAGCTAGGGGCCCTTTTTCTCTCTCTCTCTCTGCTGTGCAAGACTGCTGCTGGATGAAAAGGCTAAATGCTATCATAATACTAAAAAAAAGTTACAAAGGTTGCCTGTTTGCATTGGCGGAGGGCCTATTAGCCAGGAACTGACCGGTATTTAGTTAGTGGTACAGACAATATTTTATTTTATGCTATGGACTTGCTGTACAAAGTGCCCCTGCATTAGGACTCTGTTTTCTGAATAACAGTGCAGAACAAATCTTTCTGGACTGCTCCTTGGTGTCTCTGCTTAGTGTATTGTTTAGTGCTGACCAGCTACTGCCAACCACCTACCAGCAGCCTTAATAATGTAAAAGCAGAGTTAGATTTTGTTTTCTCAGCAAAGTTTCATTTTCTTACTGTAGATAATGCCTGCGTCTTTTGTCATTGGTGGATTCTGCCTCAAGTATCAATTTCTGTTCCTCCTTCCTCTTCTATTCCCTACCTCTTCCTCCCTAGTGTTTAATTCTGCCCTCTCCGTAGTCACGCCCTCCCATCCTGCAGCTCCACATCCCACCTGGGCACATCAAGTCCACAAGGATGCCTTTCCAGCACACATTGCTCACAGTATTTTTTATTTTTTTGCGCAAGTGTCCTTATGAAAACAGACATCTCCGCTAAAGAGCCACTGAGGCTCCTTTTTGCAGCTTCTGGATCAGTCATTACTCAGCTTTTTCCTGGGAGACTGTACCCAGATCCTCCCCGAATTAAGTGGATGGTGGGCAAGCCTAACATTGCTCCCTACAGGCAATGGATCCTGTGCTTGCCATTCACCTGGGCGCGTGGTGCAAAACATTGAATTAACCGTAGAGTGCTATACCGATCCATGGACGGGTTCACCCGTCTAGAGGAGCCAAGTCCCTGAAGACCCCCTTCCAGACCATCCAGACGAAGGACTTTTCTATTTCCTTTAAATCTTGAACCACCTGACCAAGACAGGTCAGGCAAATGCGATCTGTCCCACACCACCTGGCAGGGGTCTAGAAAGACTCCTCTCTGGAGTGAAGACATTGCCAACTGTGGTTGTCACTAAAGGCAGCAGGGAGCCCATAAGAAGTGTCCCAGAGGATTGCGGTTGAAGAGAAGGCCGGTGAGGCTGCCTATCCTTACTTGCAAAGTTGCCTTTCTCCTTCCCATAACTTCTGTGAGGCAAATTTCTGAGTTGGTGGCCTTAACCTGTAAAGAACACCTTCTTGTGCTACACAAGGACAAGGTTGTTTTGAGGTCCAAGGTCTCTTTTCTTCCCCAAGGTGGTTTCTTACTTTCATTATATCCAGGACTTTGTTCTCTCAGTCCTTCTCCTAAACATTCTAAAAAGATTTCCCTCCATTCCCTGAATGTGGTACGCACATTGAGTTTCTCTCTCAGCTACAGCTCCCTTTCATAATTTGACTCTGTCGTTCTTCCTGAAGGTCCCCATAGGGGACAGCCTGCTTCTCATTCCACTAGCACTAGGTGGATTCAGCTGCTCATCATTAAAAACTTCTGACCTCAGGCACAGAGTTCACCCTTTCCCAGTAAAAGTGCACACCACTAGATTAGTTTGTGCTTCAAGGGCCTTTTAACATCAGATTTCTCAGATTTGCAAGGCAATACATTTCTTCAGATGGCTCTCTAGGCTTCCTTGAACGGCCTATGTTAATCTATTTTTATCTTTGTAGATCTGTTAGCCTTTTTTTTTTTTTATGGTGCTGCCTATACCTCAATTGGACATCCCAGTATTCCATAATCTTATGATGTGTCCTATAATGTATGACTAAGAAAAAAGGATTTTGGTCTTACCAAAACTTTACTTGGAGTACATTTCAGGACACCGGTCCCTTCCCTCTGTTCTTATGTTCCTATCCTGCCATTGCTTGCTACTAAACGGAGGCATACTAGGACCAGGAGGGGCTAGTCTAGACTGTTCACACAGGATTGCTAGCATGCAAATTTTCCTAAAGTTGGTAATAGGACCATTATAGTCAAAATACTATGCGGTGTCCTGTAACGTACAAGAACATTCATTTTACAAACTTGCTTAATTTGCTTAGTTCTAATATATATGCAATTTTATATAAATGCTATTTTATATAAATAAAAAAAAAATCACTTCATTATTTAAGTAAACTGGCCAGATACTTTTAATAAATGAGCTGCACAAACAGTTTAATGCAGACATGTCCAGGATGGCTGCAAAAGCAATCTCACCTTTGTACATGGGCCACATTTTGACAGATATAAATGGCAAGTGGAAATTTTTTAAATACACTTTCATTTGCATCTTAATTTAAGGCAGGCTCACTGTGCAGCACCATCTTTAGCTGAAATTTGCTGAGTGGCACCCTCGTTGGCTCAAATCCACTGCACAGTTGAACCCTCTTTAGCACAAATTCACTACTGAGCTGCACCTTATTCAACAAACATCTATTGCCAATGCTGCATGTTTGAAATGTTAAATCCAAGAAGAGCATCCTTTTGGTGTGTGACAATTAAAAACATGTTTCAGTTGGTATGGGTGCTCTCCGCACACCTTACAGCAATCCCGGCCAGTAAGAACGATGGTGCTTGTAGTAACGACCACGGATGGCACCGTGCAAAGTACGAAATGAAAAGACAGGTCACCAGCACTCAAATAATTTAAATAGGTATGTCCTTTTTAATGTACAATTGTGTCACGATAATCAACAAAGCCGACGTTTCGGGGCCGCGCACAGTCCCTTCTTTAAGGCAGAAAGATGTGAAGACATGGGGAAGGGACC